TTCAGTTCGCAACCAGACTGCCTAGAATAAGTGCAGGTGGTGAGGCTATGTTTTGATTTTATTTCTCCTGACCCCTTTTCAAGAAGCTCTGAGCGCCTATGCCAACCTTAGTCAAGGATGGAAACTGAAGAAGTCCCCAAGCAACAGGGACAGCAGCAGAGAAGCCCTGTGTGAATCTCACAGTCCAGACACCAGATTGGAAGCTGGTGCAAAGGGCTTTGGAGAATCTGGGCAGGTTGATTATGAGCAGAATCTGGTCATGAAACCCAAAGGGATGTCAGTGGAGGACAAGAAAAACATACACCATAGAGATTACTATAATACACAGGGGGGAAAACATGATTTTACTCAGGACAGTGGCACACACCTTCATTCCCAGAATTCAGGAGGCAGAGGCAGGCAGATCTCTGTGAATTCAAGGCCAGCCTGGTCTACAGAATGAGTTCCAGGACTACATAGAGAGACTCTGTCTCAAAAATCAAAAACAAAAACAAAAACAAGCAAAACAACAACAACAAAAAACCCCACAAGAGTTTGTTTTGTCAAAACCTGGAGGGTGGAATATGAAAGAAAGACTCTTCTACTTGAAGAGCAATTAAAACTCATGAAAATTAACACTGAGAAATGGCAGGATGCATGTAACAATGTTCAGAAGTGTACACCCCATGATCAAGCAGGGCAGAACCCAGGGAGGGTGTGTGTTTTGGGGGGGTGGGGGAGCTGTGGTCCTTGGAGATCAGGGCTGAGAGTAAGGACAGGACTGGAGAATGCTGTGTTTCATCACAAATGCTTTTTTAATTGGAGCAGTTTTTTTCTATTCTTTTCCTAGCTAGCTTCCTGCTTGGTGAAGCTCAGCTCATGCCCCCAGTATCCCCATACAGATCCACCCTGCACCACCCACTGGTCTCTGTGTGCACACGCACGAGCCCTCTCTCTGCCACATCCTCCTGTGTAACCTCCCCTGCTTCTCCAATGCCCACCTTCAATGGAAGTCGGGAAGAGTTTGTGTTTCTAGCTTACCTGTGTTGGGATACATTGTCAGGCTCCATTACCCTGAATGCGCTTTGTTTCAGGAACCCTCCACCAGGCTTTCCCACCATTCCCTGCTCTCCTCCCCTAACCCCTGCAGCTCCTGAGGGCTGTGAGACTTACCTTCAGTTTCTGGTTTTACCAGGTCTCAGGTTAGAACGATCCCAACCCCATGGCTAAACCCTGAGCCCACCAAGGTCCCCACAATGAATAGATTAGGACACATGGTTCTCTCCCCACCCCCACTCCAGCACAGCCCCAAGGTTCTGTCCCCACAACAACACCCTGCCTGGGGCTCTGACTAATCATCCTAGAGTCCACCCACACAAGGCAGCCCTGGATGGCTATTCAGCTCTATTCTGGGCCTTTCTCTCTCAAGGTCCTGGTTGCTCATCCCTGCTGCGTCCAGCGTCAGCGCTCTGATTGAAAAATTTCTGAAGAGCCAGCTGGGTCCTTGCAAGGATGGGAAACAAAGCAAACAGTTGGGGCAGAGGCCCAAGGAGGAGGGTGAAGGGGGGATGTCTATTTTCCGTCTTCCTCTGAGTATCCATTTGCTATTTACAAACAGAAACAGGGCTGGCTCGGAGATGTTTGACTCCCAAACACTGTACGGGATGAGTCCTCCCTCCACCACTGACTAACACACTGGGCAGGTGTTATATTACATGCTGATGACCAGGAGTGAATCCTTGTCCCTTTCAAAACTGCAAACAAGATTTTTGATACCACTCAGCCTTCCCTCCTCCACCCCAGTCTTCCCAAGTCACCACAGCCTCCATGTAAACTGTCTCTCCTTATCACGGAGGTGGATGGGATTGGAAACCAAATTAAGACCAAGCCTTGACATCGCTGTCTTTAGAGAGATTCCCTGGATGCCAAACCCCATGCCCAGACGTACTGGCCTCTGAAGCCTGACTGGGAAAGCTGGGCTCGGCTAGATTTATGCTTCTCCTGCTTGGTTCTCCACCCATGGGCAGAGAGTGGGCCAAGAAAACCCTCTCCTCTGCCCCTTCTCTGCCCCGTTTCCTTAACCTTGACCTTGAGGTGACGTGATACAGCCTGGTCCTAGAAATGGCAGCATGGGGAGTCCTATGAGAAGAATTAGACCCCTGGACTAAGGTCCTGGGAGATGACCTGATAAAGATCTTGAACATTCTCTGTCCCAGGATCTAAGATGCCAGAGGGTCTGAGTCTGGAGGGAAAGAGGGCCTGACTGAAACTACCTTCTCCCCAGCAATGGAAATGGCAGAGGGTCGGGCCGGCCAATGGGCGGAGTGAGGACAGAAAGGGTCAACTGTAATGCTGGAAGGCCCGTAGTCAGCTCGACCTTTCCCACCTGCAGAGCCTCCTAGCCTCTGAGCATCAGCCTCAGTGTGACCATCAAGGATACAAACGCAGCTCCGGGCATCCTTGCTCCTTCTTGTTGAACCAAAGTCCAGGGCCTCCCTGCCGTGTGTCTCAGGCCTGTGCTCTGCATCATTGGCTGCACAAGAGCATCTGGTCCGGCTTCCCTTGTCAAAGTTCTGCAAGGGCTTCAGGTCGCCCCTGGGTCTTCTCCCTTGCAGCTTCTCAGGGAGTTTTTCCAGTCATCTAGACTTGTTCTCAGGGTGCTGGTTCATGTCACTTCCAGAGCTGCTTAGAGGTGATACCCAGCGTCCAGTCCAGATATGATCATGTCCAGCACTCCACTGCCAGGTGCCGCATCATGGTGGAGGCAGAAAGGGCAGAAAGGACACTGTCCAGCTGGAGAAATGGCCCAGCACTTATGAGCACTTGTTACTCTTGCAGAGGACCTAGGTTCAGTTCCCAGTACCCACATGGTGGCTCACAGCCCTCTACAACGTCAGTTCCTAGAGATGTGACACTCTGTCCTGGCCTCCAGCACTGCAAACATGGGGTGCATATAGTACATGCAGGCAAAACACTCATACACAGAACAATTTTTTCATGTGAAAATAAGTAAAGGGCATTGTCATTGCTGGGCTACTTGCCCGCTTGGCAGCTCATCTTGTTCTGCTGCTCCTCCCTCTTCCACAGCTAGGAGTTGCTGGGTGTCCCTCCCCTGGTGAAACTATTCACACATCTCTCACACACTTGTGTGTACTGTTTGTCCCAAGCCAAGCAGACCCTGGGACCACACACACACACACACACACTTACACACACACACACACACACAGGTGGAGGTGTGTGACACACACTGACAAGAGGAAAGGATGGATGCCAAGAGTGAGGTTGTGTTGGGGAGACAGGGTGCTGGGTCCACAGAGGCCCAGACCTGTTGCCTACCGTGGACCCTGGTCCTGCCTTTGCTTTAGAAGGGTCTGTACCTTACCTTAACATACTTGTGAAGGTCCTGCCTCAGTGTGCTGTGGTCTAACCTGGGCTAGAGAAGTGCTAAGACGCCATGCCTCGGTCTGTAGGTTTGGCATCAGTCCCTCTAGCCAGGCACCCATCTCTTTAGACTCCCATCGGCTTGTCCACCCATCCTGACACCCATAGCTACAGGGGAAGTATCAAGGCGGAGCCTTCATCTTGTCCTCCCTCCACTCTGCAGCATCAGCATCCTCGTCTGAATGGTGGGGTAAGCCATGCCTGTGTCACCGGGCTGCTAAGGGGTCTGCTAAGCATACGCGGGCTGCCTGATCAAGATGACTGGTGGGATGTGTGCTCTGTCGGTCGCCAGTACCCATGGCGCCTTCCCATTTGTTCCCTCCGTGTGCTTGCTCCCTCTCCTCGAGGGCTTGGGAAGAGCAGAGGGAGAAAACAGGTAGGGGGGTCAACCCCTCTTTCCACCCATGACAGATAGCAGCCATGATGGAAAACTAAAAGACATGATCAGTTTTAAGCTATTCCGCTGGGATTCATGAGGAACTCTGTCTCGGCAGGGCCTCAGGGTATGGAGAGTGAGATCTGGGGGCATGGCCCCACCCCCTAGGTGGCTGCACGCATTGTCTGTGAGTTAGGATACACTGTTTGTCCTTCTAGGTCGTGGTTCCCTCTCGTGTCCCTGGGGACACTGGTCCGTTTGCCTCCCAGGGTGACATAGACACCAGGAGATGACCTTGGTCTCCTCGCCCTGCGTCTCTTCTTGGACCCTCTCCATTCGCTCGCTGTGTTATTATTGGGCTTGTGGGTCCTGCCCTGTCATTTATTACAGACTTTGGCTCCCAACTTGCCATCTTCCTCCACCCCGTGCCTTCTGTAACCCTCCCCAATGACATCACTAACCACGCAGATGGTGACCTGGCTGTACCCTGACCTCTTCACTCCCTGGGTGACGGAGTGTGATAGCACACGCCAGTGGGAAATGCTGACACGGCAGAGGAGAGAGGACCACGAGTTCATGGCTGTCTTAAACCACACCTTTAAATGTGTGTTGGTCATTTGGTGTAGGATTCTCTGGCTTCTAGGGCATCCCATTCCCAACAGCCTCAGCTGTGTTCTGCCTCGGCCGCCACCCAAGTCCAAGGCTGACCTTGTCACATGACACCACTCCACCTTCATTCTGGCAAATGCCCGGCCCTCCTCCGACTGGACACCCCAGCCTGAGACTCAGCTGTTGTCACCACCTCAGCTCGGCTCTTCTCTTCCCGTGGTCTCATTTGGCTTAGCCTGTCCTATCTTAACTTCCTTCCTTAGGTCCACACAGTTCTCCAGTCAATAATGCTTTGTATTCGTTGTGGATGCATACACCTGTAATCCTAGTACTTGAGAAACTAAGACAGAATGATCATGACTTTGAGGTCAGACTGGGCTATATAGTGAGATTCAGCCTCAAACCTGTCCTTTTTTTTGTTTTTGCTAAGACAGTAAATTCTTTTGTTCCTCATCACTGGCCCAACCCTAGGGTAAAACCCGGCACATATTTCCTGTGTCTGTGTCTAAGCAACTGGGAGAACTGTTTAATGATCTTTTCCTGTGGAGATATGAACATCTACTCACTCCAGATAAGTATGATTCCATTGAAGTCCAGTCCGGTGAACCAAGTTTATTAGGCTTCCTTACAAAGCAAGAGTGATCAATCCCAAAGCAGCTACACCATCAAAGGTCCCACCCCAGCACAGACGATGACTTCCCCACACCTGCACGGGCAGAGCGCCCCTTCAGATAACCTTCCAGTCTCTGTACCCCAGCTCCTCCACAGACAACACAACTACCTGCAGCTCATCTGAATCACTTACATCTAGAGGGGAGGTCTAGGAAGGAGCAGCTGGAATCTCAGGTGAGGGTCTAATGACCTCACCCCATCCCCTTTCTGGGAAAGGATGTCACCAGACTCAATCTTGAGGGTTGCTAGCAAGCAGCCACAGCTGCTCGATGAAGATGCTAAGAGCAATTATGTTCACAGGACAGTGTGCTCTAGGCGCTAAGGGAGTAGGACCAGGGCAAGCCGGCTTCCTGTGAAGTCCTGCACTCCAGTCATCAAACATCAGCCTCTGCAATCCTTTGATTTCCAAGGATGGCTTCTACACTCCGATAATCATTTCACGACCTTCAGTGTTTCTTCAAACCTCTGGCTGGAGAAGATTACAGCCTCTGGAGCAAGAAAGTCAGTCCATCAGCCCCCAATACCAAATACACCAACTGGCACACCCGCCTGCCTTCCTTCTGCTCCTGAGGGGAGGTTACCCACTCCTGGGCCCCACCCATGTATGGAGTCATTAGTAGCCCTGCCCCTCTCTTTCATCAAGAGGGGAGCGGAGAACGGCAGTGGCTTTACTGGATTGCCTCCCGCTCCTTCTTATCTTGGTCATTTTGAGTCACTGTTGAAGTCACCTTATGGTGTGGTGGCACTCTCTTTTAATTCCCGCACTCGGGAGACTGAGGCAGGTGGATCTCGGGGTTCGAGATCAGCCTGGTCTACAGAGTGAGTTTCCAGGTGCCAGCACTATACAAAGAAACCCCGTCTCGAAAAACCAAAAAGGAAAAACAAAGACTAATTACCTATCTGGTCACTCCATTGTGGCCCCTTCTGCCGATTGGTCCTCCCTGCTGGTCTATCAGAGTTGGAGTTCTGGTCTTGCTTCCCGTCTTCTCCTAGGTTCATTCCATCAGGTCTGTGGCAAAGGATGCATAAACCTTTCCCCCAGGTCATTGCCATCACCTTTGGGGTTTTTCTGTCTTTTTTAAAAAGATTTATTTATTTATTATGTATACAGTGTTCTGCCTGCATGTATGCCTGCACACCATAAGAAGTCACATGATCACATTATAGATGGTTGTGAGCCACCATGTGGTTGCTGGGAATTGAACTCAGGACCTCTGGAAAAGCAGCCAGTGCTCTTAACCTCTGAGCCACCTACCTCTACAGTCCCACCTCTGGAATTTCTTAAAGGAAGCCCACACCCAATAGACCCTTAAATCCATGATCTCCCTCAACTTCCCTTCCTATTACACAATCTCCCATGTACTCCTGGGCCTTGCAGATTTGGCTGCCTAAATTCCTCCCAAATCCTCTTAAATTCCAAGCCCACCCATGCCATCACAGGAACACTCCAGTACTATGACCTTCTCACTGGCATGGGTCATGCTACCCTGGACCCACCCCAAGTCCTTGCTAGTCCATAAAGCCAGGGTATCTTTGCAAAATGTGTTGATTACATCATTCCTGTCCTAACCATCAGAGGCTCCTTGTTTTTTTGTAGGTAAACCTCCAACTGTTTCACATGGGTTTGGTGAACCCAGATTGTCTGAAGCTCTACATGTCTGTAATGGGTTCTGGGCCCCCACGTTGACTGTGACACACACTGTCACTATGATTTTGGGCAAGTTACCTCAACTATCTAATAATGGAACTATCTCACACCTGAGGTACAGTGGCATTAAGTTTACCAAGCACCTATAATAGTGCCTGCTACACGTAGGCGTTTGGTAAGAGGCATTCACTCTGCCCCCCAGAGGTGGGGCATCTCCTTCCATTCTATCTTTCTGTTCTATAGAACACTGGTTTTTTTCTGGCCCGTATGTCACCACGTTTCCTCTTTCTACAGGGTCTTTGCACATGCTTTTATTGAGTCTTGTTTTCTTTCCCTCTCTGACTATTCATGGCCTGTGCATCAGGCCATGAGGTCACAGCTCAAGTGTGATTTCTTTGAGGGTGTCCTTGCCACTTTGTCAGTTTTGTAACTCTAGCATCTAAGTCAGGTGTGGTAGTGCACGCCTCTAATCCCTGCATTTGGGAGGCAGAGGTAGGCGGATTTCTGAGTTCAAGCCTAGTCTATAGAACAAGTTCCAGGACAGCCAGGAGCATAGGTGGTCGTGTCTGGGCTGGGACTCAGAAGCCCAGGTTCTATGCTGTCTGTGCCCTGACCTCAGGCCTGAGCAGGACAGCTCCTCGTCAGCTTCTGTCTAAGCTGGAGGTGGCAGGGCCAGGCCAAGCAGGGACTCTAATGTCACTGGGCTCTGCCACACTTCCCACACCAACACCCCCCCCACATACACACACCCCCCCACACACACCCCAGGGCCTGCTTATCCCTCACCCACCTAGCCTGGTCTCATGGGGTAGGATTTATGAGGGCTGCCCTGCAGGTAATAAATCATAGTACAGCCCTGTGTGTATAAAAGAAGGGTCAGGGGCTCTGGAGCTACACAGACCTTAGAAAGCCTTGGCTGAACCAATGGACGGGAAGAGGATGCCTCTCTGGGGACTCCTGATGATACTCTGGAGCTCTTGCGCCTTCAGTCTCCCGACAGACACAGCCGCCTTTGGAAGGTAACTTGGGCAGAGAAGGGATGGCAGGGTGCGGGGACTGGTGTCTTTACCAGTGCTCTCAGCTTTCAGATACGTGGGGTCAGGCAGTTCTTTTGTTGTTGTTATTTTGTTTTTCGAGACAGGGTTTCTCTGTAGCTTTGGAGCCTATCCTGGAACTCGCTCTGTAGACCAGGCTGGCCTTGAACTTACAGAGGTCTGCCTGTCTCTGCTTCCCGAGTGCTGGGATTAAAGGCCTGAGCCACCACCACCCAGCTCAAGGGGTCACCCTGTTCTTATGGCCAGTCAGTCATGGATGTGTGGTCCTGCTCTGAGAATTTCAGTGGCTTGCCTGTGCCACACATTCATAACTAATTAGGAAGGGCTGTCGCCTTCTCATCCAGAGGGCCACACGTTCCTGATCCCTAAGTACACATTGCGGTGACTGCACAGGGCACCGCCAGGTTAACTCTCCGGGTAAGGAGAATGGTGAAGAGGTCAGAGGCAGGTCCTCTAGATTTTTCCAGGTTAAATTTTCTGCTTCACTAGCAGCAGACAAAGCCAGGTCCAGCAGCAAGGCTAACCTCACCAAGTCTTAGTGTGCCATTCTAACAGGATCATAACAGAGCCTGCTCCCTGGGACTGCTTTGAAGAGTTGATGAGATAATGCGCATTAAGCTGTGTCCTGCCAGGCATGGTGTAAGAAGCCGTGACTATAGCATGGATTACCACTGAGTAGAGTCAAGGAAAGGCTCCTGGCAGCCCCGTTCAGGAAGATGAAGCATTCATCAGGGCCTTTCCAGGCCTGTGGGAGTGAGGCTTCTTTTTGTTGTTGTTTTTGAGACAGGGTTTCACTGTGTAGCCCTGGCTGTCCTGGAACTCACTCTGTAGACCAGACTGGCCTCGAACTCACAGAGATCGGCCTTCCTCTGCCCCCTGAGCACTGGAGTTAAAGGCATGTAGAAAACCTGCACTGCAGAGGGGTTTTCTCAAAGAGGAAGGGCCACAAAGTGCAGTAAAGCATGGGCCTTTTCAGGACATGGTGGGGAGCGGACCTTTGGACACTTTTTCCTTTCTCCTACATAGAGCAGGGATAACAAACCTTCCTATCTTGTGGGATAGCTGGGATCAAATACAGTAAGTGAGAAAATACTTGTGAAGAGTAAACTAGGGTAGCCCTGTACGTCATTTCTGCTAGAGATTACACAGCTAGGTGTGAAGTATGGCCAAAGCAGGGGGCGTGAGGGCACAGAGTGCCAGGAAAGGTTGGGACTCACATCGGAGAAGAAGCAGGGCCTCTGTGTCTGGGAAAGCATACTGCCACTGAGGTGGGCTTGTCCCAGAGTTCTCTGGCCCAGGGCTTAAGGCACCTTCCTCTGACTGCAAAACAGTCTTCACGGCTGTCTGGGCAGTTCTAGGTAGAAAAGACAGCCAGACAGCATGGACTCTGTTTGGCATTTCTGAGTCATCTTCACCCCCCCCCCCATGAGCCTTCAGCGTCTCCACTGGAAAACAGAGAGCTAGCTGTTGTTTGGTTTGTATGTGGGCGCGTGCCAGGCAGCTGCTCTGCGGCCAGGAGCAGCTCTGTGGGTCACTGTTTGTACACCTCTTTAATTCTGCCAGTCAAAGGTGACTGTAGGATGGCTGATATGAGACAAAGGGCCAAGACACTGGCCTATCTGAATCCTGCTGGGTTCAGTGGGCACACATCACCTGACTCTGTGATACCCCAGGGGTCCCCAAGTCCCTGCAGCCTGCCGTGGGCATCTGCTGCCACCTACAGGCCCCAGATGGCACTGTCTCCCCATCAATCAAAGGAGAGGTCAAGAGACAGCAATGACCTTTATGTCCCAATCCAGGATGGATGGACAGACAAATTGCCTTATCTGATTAAAATGAGACAACAGGAGGGATTTGAGAATTATTTAGTACCAGAATAAGTGACTCAAGAGGCTTGTACATCCTCCTGAGAAACCCCAGGGCACAAGAAGTGATTAGTTAGTAATAGACACACCAAAAGCAAGAAATCTGGGCTCTGGCCATGTTGGTGGTCTACACGACCCTTCTGCTTTTCTGCCCCTACTCCGGAGCAGGATCTTACTCAAGAAAATGCCCTCCGTCCGGGAAATCCTGAAGGAGCGCGGAGTGGACATGAGCAAGCTCGGTGCTGAATGGGGCGAATTCACCAAGAGGTTCTCCTTTGGCAATGGCACCTCCCCAGTGGTCCTCACCAACTACCTGGATGTGAGTGCCTAACTAACTCAGCTGCGATTTTCCTTTCTCTCTGGGACTATCAGGCACCACCCTTCCCACACCATGCTTGACTGAGAGCCAAAGAGCACCTGCACACTCTATAGAACCCCTTTTCACAACTGAGAAGTCTGGGGGGTTGCTGTTGTTTGTTTTGTTTTTGAGACGTGGTCTCACTATGCAGCCCTGGAAGGCCTGGAACTCACTATGCAGACTAGGCTGACCTTGAACTCATAGAGGTCTACAAGTTTCTGCCTCCAGGGTGCTTTCGTGCCCAGCTATTTTAACTGCTTCTATTAGGCTTTCACGCCTCAGTGAGTCTCCTATATTCCAGGACAGCAGAGGATAATGCAAAATGGAAAGCCAAGAGCCAAGAAAGAGGGGGGCCAGGCGCGGCTCCCAAACCCAAGGCTCGCTTGCCTTGGTCCTCACTTGCCTTCTACTCCTGCAGACCCAGTACTATGGCGAGATTGGCATTGGCACCCCACCCCAGACCTTCAAAGTCATCTTTGACACAGGTTCAGCCAACCTCTGGGTACCCTCCACGAAGTGCAGCCCTCTCTACACTGCCTGTGGTAAGAGTCAGTGTGCGCCTCTCACCAAGCCCTTCCGGCTGCTCCTAGCTCAATTCCCCATGCTCCAATGAATTGCTCTCCCTCAGCCCCATGCCACTGATCCTAGAAAGAGAGAGGAAATGTCTCTGGCCACCAAGGTGAGTAAGCCAGCTAAGGGAAGTGCCTGGGTACCTGGAAGGCCATTTCCCAGGGTCCCTAGGATTCAGTCAGGAACAATGTTGCAAACTCATTCCAAGTCCTGAGGCTCTTCCAATGATAGCCTTAGTCAACACCCTCATACTAACCCTTACTCTGTACCCCAGCCAGAATCCTCTTAGCACTGTATCAATGTTAGCAATGCCTATTGAATTCTTTGTTTGAAACGAATGTCTCAGAAGCACAAGCACATAAGAGAAAAACCATCCCTCCTGGTATACATTTTTTCCAAGCTGTAGACTCAGGAACACCAACACACACACACACACACACACACACACACACACACACACACACACACACACACACACACACCCATGGGCACCCTGAGTTAAGTCTTCAGCCATATTAGCCATGCCTACCACTTGCCCTATTTCTAAGCCTCCTGCCTCAGTCAATAACTCTTATACTAATCTGAGCCTGTGTCCCTCTGCTAGGGATTCACAGCCTCTATGACTCCTCAGAATCCTCCAGTTACATGGAGAATGGGACTGAATTCACCATCCACTATGGATCAGGGAAGGTCAAAGGTTTCCTCAGCCAGGACATAGTAACTGTAAGTAGGACCAGCCCTATGGGGCCCATCAGAGCAGGGCAGGTATATCCCAGCCCACCTTGGAGCCTGGGAAGTTGAAGGACAACCTCCTTGGAAGTTTCTAGCTGAAGTTATGAAGACCAGAGTTTCAATGGAGCAAATAGGCTGACAAGGCTTTGCGTCTAACTTGTGTGGGGGCTAGCCTAAACCCCACAGTTTCCAACCTTGTGACGAGCCTGCACTTATGAGTTCAAACCAGGCTTGGAGTATTGTTGAGATTGGAGACCAGGGTTTTGTGCCAGGGCAAGATTTGCTTTCTTTGGGCCAGTGTGTAGGCCGTCCCTGTTGTAGAGCTGGAGGTAGGGAAACACACGTTGAGCCCCAGAGGGAACCAGTGCGAGCCCTTCCCTCTCACCATGCCTGTTAAACTGGGGGTGGGGGAAGCCCGGGTTATGATAGGGAAATCCTGAGCTCCAGCTGGTGTGGTAGTATAAAACCTGGCCTCTGGGCGGGCTGCGGGTCACCTGCCCGGTGGGACCTCTTTCTCAGCTTTAAAGCACCAGTCAACCCCATCTCTCTTGCTCCAAGCATAGATGTGCTGATTGGGTGTGTGTAGGCTTGTTGGGGTGATCTTTCCTAACTGATGTATAGAACCTGTGTAGCTCTGGGGTTCCTGGCGTGGAAGCCAGAGCAGATCCCAGCCAGGGTTGGGAAGTGACTTCCATCTCTTCTGGCTCTTCTCTCACAGGTGGGTGGACTCATTGTGACACAGACGTTTGGAGAGGTCACTGAGCTGCCCCTGATGCCCTTCATGTTGGCCAAGTTTGATGGGGTACTGGGCATGGGATTCCCTGCTCAGGCCGTCGGTGGGGTGACCCCTGTCTTTGACCACATTCTGTCCCAGAGGGTGCTGAAGGAGGAAGTCTTCTCCGTCTACTACAGCAGGTGGGCCTTTGATCCCCAGGCCAAGGCAGGGAGGGGCAGAGAACTGGAGGAATGGTAAGAGTCCAGGCCAGGATTTCCATGCTCCTGATGAGGTGGTCCTCAATCCATATCTAGAACCACACACTGGCCAATTAAAATGAATGGAAATCAAACTTTCAGTCCTTAGGGACTGGCCACACAGGCACAGCCAGCCTTTGTT